GGGGTGTGGAATCCCCGTGGTGTGGGTGTGGGTGTGGGATCCCCGTGGTGTGGGTGTGGGTTCCCTCCGGGTGGGATCCCCGCGGGTGATTTCCCCCCGCAGGGATGAACAAGGGGGCGGTGCTGGCCGGGGTCATCGGCGCGCGGAAGCCGCACTACGACATCTGGGGCAACACCGTCAACGTGGCCAGCAGGATGGAGTCCACCGGAGTCATGGGCAACATCCAGGTGGGGGCAGGGAAAAACACCCGGGAGGGAATTCCGGCATCTTTGGGAAGGGGCTGGAAACCCGCAGGACGTCCCCGGGGAGTCGGGAGGGAAGGGATCTCAGAGCTCATCCCGGTCCAACCCCGGCACCTCCCGCTGTGCCAGGGGATCCAACCCGGCCTGGGACACTCCAGGGATCCAGGGGCAGCCACAGCTTCCCTGGGAATTCCAGCCCAGCCCCTCCACACCCTCCCAGGCTCTGGAAGGGGCTCCCAGCTCTCCCTGGATCCTTCCCTGCTCCAGCCTGGCCATTCCCAGCTCTCCCAGCCTGGATCCAGAGCCTGACATTGGATCCATGCCCAGCCCAACTCCTCTCTGGGAAGGAGTTCCGGGAACAAGGGGGGGTTCCCTGGGAATCTCGGCACTCAGGGAAGGGTCTCCCTTCCCCTTTCCCTGCCTTTTCCATCCCCACATTCCTTAAAATCCCTCTGAGTGGATTCAGAGTGCCCTTTATCCCAGACTCCCAGCATGGTTTGGGTGGGAAGGGATTTTCAGGATGATCCCATTCCATGTTCAGGGACACCTCCCGCTGTCCCAGGGGATCCAGCCCGGCCTCGGGACACTCCAGGGATCCAGGGGCAGCCACAGCTTCCCTGGGAATTCCAGCCCATCCCATCCCAAACCGCCTCCCCCCGGGGCTGGGTAGACCTGTTGCCCCACCCGCTCCCGCCCTTCCCACCAGCGAAACCTTCCTGTTCTCCCCCCCCTTTTCCCACCTTTTCCCGCTGTCCTGCCCGCCTTTTCCCGCTGTTCCCACCCCCCCGCAGGTGGTGGAGGACACGCAGCTCATCCTCAAGGAATTCGGGTTCCGCTTCGTGCGCCGCGGGGCCGTTTACGTCAAGGGCAAGGGGGACCTGCTCACCTTTTTCCTCAAGGGACGGGAAAAGACGGGATATTCCGACAGTGGATCCTCCGTGCCCCTGCCCCACCAGGTCCTGGACAATTCCTGACCGGGAAAAACCCGGAAAAAACGGGATATTCCTCCTCCGTGCCCCTGCCCCACCAGGTCCTGGACAATTCCTGACCGGGAAAAACCGGGATTTTCCTCCTCCCTGCCCCTGCCCCACCAGGTCCTGGACAATTCCTGACCGTCCCAAACCGGGAAAACCCGCCCCGTCATCCCCCCCAAACACACACAAATAAATCGGGAATGTCCGTCCCGCCGGGATCCCACAGCAAACTCCACCCCCTCCATCCCATCCCAAGCTCGGCACGGCCCTTCCCGAGCCGCCTTTTTGTTTTTTTTCCCGGGAATGCCGGGAGATGCACGCGCTCAGGGATGGGCGGGAAGGCTCCGCGGCTCCTCCTCCCGTGGGATTGGATTGGAAGTGGGAATTCCCGCCCCGCTTTCCATCGGGAATGCACCCGGGATTTGCTGTCCCTTCGTGCTCCCCCCTTGGATTGGGGAATTCGGGAATCCGGGAGAGACGCTGGGGGTGTTTTCCAGAGGGAAATCCACGGGGTGGTTTGAGTGTTCCCGGCGTTCCCATCCCGGGAATTGCAGGGGGTGGGAGGGGAAAAAGGGGCCGGTTGGGATCGGGGAGTGCTTGGAATTAAAAGCAGTGGGAATTCCAAAGGGTGATTCCCGGCCTCGTTTGTCCTGGAAGGAGGGGGGCAATTGGATACCGGGAAGGCTCCTCTGCTTTTCCAAGGGGATGTTGTTGGGTTTGGAGGGATCCTGGGATGGGAGGGGAGGGGCGGGAAGGGGCCTCAAATAGTTTATCCCATTCCATGGGCAGGGACAATTCCCGCTGTGCCAGGGGATCCAACCCGGCCTGGGACACTGCAGGGATCCAGGGGCAGCCACAGCTTCCCTGGGAATTCCAGCCCAGCCAGGAATCCCTTCCCAGTCTCCCACCCCAATCTTTCCCAGTGGGAAGCCATTCCCTGTGTCCTGCCATTCCAGGCCCTGATCCCAAATCCCTCTCCAGCTCTCCTGGAGCCTCTGCAGGCTCTGGAAGCGGCTCCAAAGTTTTCCTGGAGTTTGTTTTTTCCCTTTAATCCCATGGAATCACATCCCATGGGATTTGTCTCCTGAAAAAACCCAGCCTGGAGCCATCCCAGTTCCAGGGAATCCTGGAATTCCAGCCTGGTTTGGGTGGGAAGGGATTTTAAGGATCATCCCATTCCAACCCCGACACCTCCCGCTCTCCCAGGTCGCTCCAAAGGGAATCCCAGGGCTGGGACATCCCAGAAAACCTTGGCAAATCCCATGGATTCAGATTCCCAAGCTCCACCAGCAGGAGTGGGTGGAGTTACAAATCCCTGGAATCCAAGGAGTTACAAATCCTTGGAATTGCCGCTTTTCCATCCCAAGGTTCCCCTTTTGGAACAGATTTTCCAGTCAGGATGAGGAGATTCCTTAATTATGGAATTATTAATTATGGAATTATTGACTAGGGAATTATTAATTATGGAATTATTATAGAAAGGGGTTTTTTTTCCTGTGCTTTATCCCACTGGGAAAAAACCCTGGGAAAAAGCAGGGAGTGGAGAAAAAGCTCCCAAGGATCCCCTTTTATTCCACGTGGAATTTAAGGAAAACCGGGAATTTTTGAGGGGGGAAAACAAAAACAGAGTTTTGGGTTTTTTTTCTTTCCTTGAAATTTCCTTGAATTTTGGGAATGGGAAACTTGGGTGGAAAACCAGGAAGGGGATCATTTTTTTTTTGGGAATGAACTCCCCATGCTCCCTTGTTTTTTTTAGGAATGATTCCACTACTCCTTTTTTTTTTTGGGAATGAACTCCCCGTGCTCCCTTCTTTTTTTTTTTTTGGGAATGCTGGGGGGGGAGAGAGCGCAGGGAAAGCCGATCCATGTGGGTGTCATTCCCAAACTGCAGAAATCCCGGAATTCCGACACCGTTTCCCGCTCCAAATCCCAGATTTTTTTGTCCACAACTGGGAATTCCGTGGCACAAACCAACAACGAGGGAGACGCTCCGAGATCCCGAGAGGAGAGGAGGAAAACGCTGCCGATCCATGGAAAAGGCGGAGCGGGAAGGGGGTCGGGAGGGCTGCAGAATTCCCGGCCGGATTCCGGAGGGGGCTCAGGGAGCTCCGGTGAGGCTCTGGAATGCCCTGTGGAGCGCCACGGTCCGGAACAGCTCCGAGTGCTGCTCTGCCTGCGCCGCCAGCGCCGCTGGAGCCTCCGCTGGGAGACGGGAATTCCGTGGGAATCAGGGTTGGGAAAAGAGCTCCGAGGTCATCCAGCCCCAACCCTGGATCCAACCCGGCCCGTGGGGCTGATCCCACATCCAGAGTGTCCCTAAAAACCTCCAGGGATGGGGAATCCACCCCTGCTGGGGCTGGACAGCCCTTTCCATGCGGGAATCATTCCCAAGATCCCACCTGCCCCTCCCCTGGCCCAGCTGGAGGCCGTTCCCTCTCCCTCCTGGCCCTTCTTCCCTGGGAATTGGGGAATTCCTGAGAATTCCTGACGGGGGGTTCTGGAGAGCTGGGACAGTGCCAGGATGGCCCAGAATCCTTAGGGATGGCTCAGGATGGAAAATCCCTCTGGAATTCCGGAGTCCAACCAGCCCAGGCCAGCCCTGCCCCGTGTGCCCAAGGGCCACATCCCCAGGGATTGGGAATCCCTGCAGGGATTGGGAATCCAGCCCTGCCCTGGGAAGTTCATTCCAGTGCCTGACAGCCCTTTCCAGGCGGGAATTGCTCCCAATATTCCCTCTCCTCCTGCCCCTTCTTCCCTGGGAATTGAGGACACCCCCCCTGGCTCCCCATTCCCGGCAGGGAATTCCAGAGTGGGAAAAGCCCCCCTAGATCCATTTCCCAACCCCCCCAATCCCAAGGGATCCCGGGAAGTGCCAACTCACGGGAGCAGGACACGGCCACGTCCGTGGGGAGGCTCCGGCAGGGATCCCGGTACAGGAGCCGGGCCTGGAACGGGAAATTCCCGCTGTTCCTGGCCAGGCTGTAGCGGAACTTCAGGAGGTTGCAGAGGGAATTCCGCTGGGGAATCCCTTGGATCCAGTCGGAGAAGCGTTCCTGGGGGGAGCAGGGATGGAGATTGGGATGGGAGAGCGGGAATAGCAGGAAAGGATTCCCAAGTGGGAAGGGAAGGAATGAACTTCCCAGGGCAGGGGGGGATTCCCAATCCCTGCAGGGATTCCCAATCCCTGGGATTGGGACATGAGGACACGGATTCCTGGCAGGGCTGGGAATGGTTGGACTGAGGATTCCAGAGGGATTTTCCAGCCTCAATCATTCCATGATTCACCTCCCACTGTGCCAGGGGATCCAACCCGGCCTGGGACACTGCAGGGATCCAGGGGCAGCCACAGCTTCCCTGGGAATTCCAGCCCAGCCGGGAATCCCTTCCCAATCTCCCACCCCAATCTCCCCTTTCCCAGTGGGAAGCCATTCCCTGTGTCCTGCCATTCCAGGCCCTGATCCCAAATCCCTCTCCAGCTCTCCTGGAGCCCCTGCAGGCTCTGGAAGGGGCTCCCAGCTCTCCCTGGATCCTTCCCTGCTCCAGCCTGGCCATTCCCAGCTCTCCCATTTTCCCCTCTCCCCCTCCCTGTGGAATTCCAGACCCCTCCCAACTCTCCCAGGAGGGTCTGGGATCCCAAACATTGCCAAGCACCTGGAATTGCTCAGCCTGGAATCTCCTTCCCACGAATCCGTTGAGGTGCTGGCAGAGCAGACCCAGGAAGCGCCGGAGATCCCTGGGCAGGAATTCCCGGGAAAGCCTCTCCAGGGGGATGAAGGCGGGGATGGAATGGCGCTGGATCCGGAGCTCGGGAAGCGCCTGCAGCTCCAGGTGGAAGGAATCCAGCTGGGAATTCTCGTAGGAAGTGCTGAGGGTCAGGAAAACCCCCCGCTTGGAGAGCTTCCCGCTGATCCCTGGGAATGGGGAATGACAGGGAATGACAGGGAATGAGGGCTGGGAGAGCTCCCCAGGGATCCCTGGGAACAGGGAATGCCAGAATGAACCTCCCCGTTCCCAAAATAAATGCCCAATTACCAAATTAACTTCCCAATTCCCAAATGAACTTCCCAATTCTGAAATGAACCTCCCAATTCCCAAAATAAATGAAAAATTCCCAAATTTACCCACCCAATTCCCAAAGTAAATTCCCAGTTTCCAAATTGCCCTCCCAATTCCCAATTTAACCCCCCAATTCCCAAATGAACCTCCCAATTCCCAAAATAAATGAAAAATTCCCAAAGTTACCCCCCAATTCCCAAATTATGCTCCCAATTCCCAAATGAACCTCCCAATTCCCAAATTACCCTCCCAATTCCAGAATTTCCTGCCTAATTCCCAAATTTCCTGCCCAATTCCCAAATTCCCCTCCCAATTCCCAAATTATCCTCCCAATTCCAGAATTCCCCTCCCAATTCCCAAGGAAAGCTCCCAATTCCCAAATTCCCCTCCCAATTCCCAAATTTCCCACCCAATTCCCAAATTTCCCACCCAATTCCCAAATTTCACGCCCAATTCCCAAATTTCCTGCCCAATTTCCAAATTACCCTCCCATTTCCCAAGGAAACTTCCCAATTCCCAAATTTAACCTCCCAATTCCCAATTTAACCTCCCAATTCCCAAATTATCCTCCCAATTCCAAATTTCCCTCCCAATTCCTAAAGTAAATTCCCAGTTCCCAAATTGCCCTCCCAATTCCCAATTTATGCTCCCAATTCCCAAATGAACCTCCCAATTCCAAAATTTCCCTCCCAATTCCCAATTTACCCTCCCAATTCCCAAAGTAAATTCCCAGTTCCCAAATTTCCCTCCCAATTCCCAAATGAACCTCCCAATTCCCAAATGAACCTCCCAATTCCCAAATTTACCTCTCAATTCCCAAATTTACTGCCCAATTCCCAAATTACCCTCCCAATTCCCAAGGAAACCCCCTAATTTCCAAATTACCCTCCCCATTCCCAAATTTCCCTCCCAATTCCCAAATTACCTTCCCCATTCCCAAAATAACCCCCCAGTTCCCAAATTAACCTCCCAATTCCCAAGGAAAACTCCCCAATTCCCAAAGTAAATGCCCAATTCCCAAATTTCCCACCCAATTCCCAGGAATTCCCCCAGACCCCCTGGGAAATCAAAGCAATTCCCACTTTCCCAGCACTCTCAGCCTCCCAAACCTTCCCTTTTCCCAGGAAAAATCTCCTTTTCCCAAAAATTCCTCCTGGAATTGTCACCTGTGAGGTGGAAAAGCCGGAGCAGGGCCCGGAGGCTCCGGATCCGCCATTCCAGGACATCCCGAGGGTCGGGAGGGGTCGGATCCGAATCTGAATCCGGAGCCGTTCCCGCTTTTCCCGGCGCCTGAAAAAATCCGGGAGAGGTCACTGAAAAATCCTGGAAAAGGAACATCCCAGATTATCCCAAGCTTTGGATACTCCCAGGGGATGGACACAGCCCTGAGATTTCCTGGGAAAAGCCGCTCCCAGAAATCCCAGAAATCCCAGAAACCCCAGAAAAGGAACATCCCAGATTATCCCAAGCCTTGGATATTCCCAGGGGATGGAGCAGCCCTGAGATTTCCCGGGAAAAGCCGCTCCCAAAATCCCCACAAATCCCCACAAATCCCGGAAAAGGAACATCCCAGATTATCCCAAACTTTGGATACTCCCAGGGGATGGAAAACAGCCGTGATTTCCCAGGAAAAGCCGCTCCCAAAATCCCAGAAAAGGAACATCCCGGATTATCCCAAGCCTTGGATATTCCCAGGGGATGGAGCAGCCGTGATTTCCCAGGAAAAGCCGCTCCCAAAATCCCGGAATTCCCAGAAATCCCAGTTTTTCCCCACCTGTTTTTCCAGGCGCTCCAGCTTTTCCCGCAGCCGATCCCGCCGGAGCCGCAATTCCCGAGCCCGGGAGCGCAGCCGGAACTCCCGCGATTCCCGACGATCCCGGAGCTCCTGATCCCGGAATTCCAACCCCTCCCGGCGCTCCAGGGATTCCAGCTGGGCCAGCACCCCTGGGGGGGAAAAAGAGGGAATTCCAGGTTGGGAATTCTGGGCCCAAAGGAGAGCCTGGAATGGATTTTCCAAGGGGGGAAAGGGCAGGGAAAAGCAGGACACATTCCAGGAAATTCCAGGTGGGAATTCCATCCCCAGGGAGCACCTGGAATGGCTTTTTCCAGTGGGAAGAGGGCAGGGAATGGGAGGTTTTTATGGAATTCACGTGGCTGGATTTTTGGGAATAATGACCAACATTCCTGGCAGGACACATTCCAGGCAATTCCAGAGGGGAATTCCATCCCCAGGGGAAAGCAGGACACGTTCCAGGCAATTCCAGGTTGGGAATTCCGACCCTGGAATGTTTAAATCCCCCCCAGACTCACCCAGAGAGGATTCCTGTTTCCCTCCTTCCTCCTTCCCAAGCTCCATTCCTTGGGAAAATCCTTATGGAAAACTTCCCTCTCCTTCTCCTGCTGCTCCAAATCCTCCTGGAGAGATCCCAGGGATCCAGAGGCTGGAAAAGAGATGGAGTTGGGAGGGAAATTTGGGAAGGGTCCCAGGGATGGGACAAGGAAATACCCCCCTTGAGGGGCTGAGGGACCCCACAGACCCCCAAATTCCCCATGGACACCCTCCTCAAAACCCCCAAATTCCTCCCCCAAAACCCCCAAATTCCTCCCCCAAAACCCCCCAAATTCTCCCCAAACCCCCAAATTCCCCGGACTCCCCAAACGCCCCGAATTGCCCTGAGATTCCCCTCAGAATCCCCCAAACCCCCTTAAAACTCTACAGACCCCAAATCCTTAAATTCCCCACCAACCCCTCCTCAAATTCCCCAAATCTCCCCAAACCCCCAAAATTCCAAATCACCGCCCAGATTCCTGAATTCCCTCCAGATTCCCTGAGAAACCCCCCAAATTCCCCCAACCACCCACCCATCTCCTCTCCCACCTCAGGCTCGAATCTCCCGCCTCAGGCGCCGCCGGAAGTGCGTCATCACGCTCACCCCTTTGCCGTACAACAACATGGCGGCGCCCATTCCCCCATCTCTCCCTTTTTCCGTCGTTCCTTCCCTCCCTCTCTTCTTCCTTCCCTCCCTCCGCCCCTTCCCCTCCCGGCCATGGCGGGGCAGTCCCTGGTGCAGTACGTGGTGCTCCGCGGGGACCTGGCCCGCTCGTGGCCGCTGGGGGCCGTGGTGGCTCAGGGCTGCCACGCCGCGCTGGCCGCGGCCCACGCGTTCCGCGAGCACCCGGACACGGCGGCCTACCTGGAGAGGGGCGGCCACATGAGGACTGTCGTGCTAGAGGTGAGGGGACAGGGGGGGATGGCGACATGAGGGCCGTGGTGCTCGAGGTGAGGGGACATGGAGGGGAAGATGGGGTGGAGGACAGATGGGAGGGGAAGATGGGGAGGAGAGATGGAGGGATGATGGAGGGGAAGGAGAGATGGAGGGGAAGATGGGGGGAGGGATGGAGAGGATGATGGGGAGAGGGAGATGGAGAAGATGATGGAGGAAGAGGTGAGATGGAGAGGGATGATGGAGGGGAGAGGAATGAGAGGATGATGGAGGGATGATGGAGGTGAGGGGAGATAGAGGGGATGATGGGGGAAGGAGAGATGGGGGATGATGGAGGTGAGGGGAGATGGAGGAGATGATGGAGGGGGAGGGGCCATGAGGAGTGTGGTGCTGGAGGGGAGGGGAGATGGAGGCGAAGGGGGGGTAATGGGGGCTGTGAGAAACAATCTCTAAATATCCCCAATTTGTGAGAAACGGAGACTCAAAATATAATATATTATAATAATTTTATTATCATAACATCATTATTTTATTATATTACTAATTAATAGTTTATTATAATATCTAATAACATCATATTTTACTTGTTAATTAATAAATCTATTATTGTATTCTAATATAATACAAAGGGGAAGGGGGAAGGAGCTGGGCTCCTTATAATTATAATATGGTCATAATATAATTATATTACATTATAGTATATATTACATATGTTTTATAATATATTATATTCTATAATATAATTATAAAAATATTATTTTATAATATTTTATATTATTTAAAATATTATTTTATTTTGATATATAATATATATTTTAATATATACATATACTGAAAAAATAATGTAATTTTTAAATTGGAATTTATTTTATGGCAAAAGCAAAGATCGTGCTGGGTGGACAGACAGGAAACATTCCTGAGCCTGCCACACCTGACACAATTCCCAGGGAACGAGGGCCAGGAGGAGAGGGAATATTGGGGCAATTCCACTGGAAGAAGGCTGTCAGGCACTGGAATGAACTTCCCAGGGCAGGGCTGGATTCCCAATCCCTGCAGGGATTCCCAGTCCCTGGGGATGTGGCCCTTGGGCACACGGGGCAGGGCTGGCCTGGGCTGGTTGGACTCCGGAATTCCAGAGGGATTTTCCATCCTGAGCCATCCCTAAGGATTCTGGGCCATCCTGGCACTGTCCCAGCTCTCTCCACAATTCCCTGGTAGGAATTCTCAGGAGGTGGAGGGTCCCCAATTCCCAGGGAAGAAGGGCCAGGAGGGAGAGGGAATATTGGGAACAATTCCTGCATGGAAAGGGCTCTCCACCCCTGGAAGTGCTGGAATCCCATCCCTGGAAGTGCTGGAATCCCATCCCTGGAAGTGCTGGGATCCCATCCCTGCAGGGATTCCCAATTCCTGTGGATGTGGCACTTGGGGATCCTGCAATCCTGGGGAGGGGACACAGTTTGGGATCTCCACTCCAAGACACGGAGGGCACGGAGCGTTTCCAGGGAAAGGGATGGGATCAGGGAAGGGGCTGGAGCAGCGGGAATGGCTGAGGGAGCTGGGAAGGGGCTCATCCCAGGGAAAAGAGGGATCAGGAGGGAGCTTTTCCAGCCCCACAACTTCCTGCCAGGAGGGGGGAGCCGGGGGGGTGTCCCCAATTCCCAGGGAAGAAGGGCCAGGAGGAGAGGGAACGGCCTCCAGCTGGGCCAGGGGAGGGGCAGGTGGGATATTGGGAACAATTCCCACCTGGAAAGGGCTGGTCAGGCACTGGAATGAACTTCCCAGGGCAGGGCTGGATTCCCAATCCCTGCAGGGATTCCCAATCCCTGGGGATGTGGCCCTTGGGCACACAGGGCAGGGCTGGCCTGGGCAGTGCTGGGGGGAAGTTGGACTGATGATTCCAGAGGGATTTTCCAACCTGAGGATTCTGGGCCATCCTGGCACTGTCCCAGCTCTCTCCACAATTCCCTGGTAGGAATTTTCCAGAGGTGGAGGGTCCCCAATTCCCAGGGAAGAAGGGCCAGGAGGGAGAGGAAACGGCCCCCAGCTGTGCCAGGGGAGTGTGGATCTCAGTTGGACACTGGGAACAATTCCCATGTGGAATCCCCCCTGGGGGTCTCTCCCATCTCTCTCCCCCCGTTGTTCCCGCAGGCCCCGGACGAGGCGGCGCTGGCGGCGCTGGGGGCGACGCTGCGGGAGCTGCGCATCGACCACCGGGCCTGGACCGAGCTGCCCGAGGGCGTCCCCACCAGGCTGGCCCTGCGGCCCTACCCCCGGGAGCAGGTCCAGAGGCACCTCCGGGGGCTCAGGCTGCTCCACTGAATCCACCTGCACATGGAATTGTCGTCCCCACCGGGCTGGCCCTGCGGCCCTACCCCCGGGAGCAGGTCCAGAAACACCTCCGGGGGCTCAGGCTGCTCCACTGAATCCACCTGCACATGGAATTGTCGTCCCCACCGGGCTGGCCCTGCGGCCCTACCCCCGGGAGCAGGTCCAGAGGCACCTCCGGGGGCTCAGGCTGCTCCACTGAATCCACCTGCACATGGAATTGTCGTTCCCCAGCCCGGGGACACCGCGGACGGGTGGGAAGGGTTGGTTGGAATCCGGGATCCCGGAGGGATTTTCCAGGCTGAGCAATTCCATTAAAGGTGGGAACCTTTCCCCCCCAGCACTCCCTGCTTGGGAATCTCAGAGGTTGTGCCGGGTCTGGAATGGTCCCTGCTGGTTTTTAGGGATGAAGCTGCTCCAGGGATCCATGGAATTGTCATTCCCAGAGGGATTCCCCATCCCTGTGGATCTGGTGGCACTTGGGGACACCGGGGAGGGGTGGGAAGGGCCGGGCGGAATCCGGGATCCCAGAGGGATTTTCCAGGCTGAGCAATCCCATTAAAGGTGGGAATCTCCTTCCCCTCCCAACACTCTCAATCCCTGCTTGGAATCTTGGAGGTTGGAATGGTCCCTGCTGATTTTTAGGGATGAGTTTTCCTCCTGGTGGTTTAGGGATGAGTTTTCCCTCCTGCTTGGGAATCTCGGAGGTTGTGCCGGGTCTGGAATGGTCCCTGCTGGTTTTTAGGGATGAAGCTGCTCCAGTGATCCATGGAATTGTCATTCCCAAGGGATTCCCCATCCCTGTGGATCTGGTGGCACTTGGGGACACCGGGGAGGGGTGGGAAGGGCTGGTCGGACTCCGGGATCCCGGAGGGATTTTCCAAGCTGGACAATTCCATTCAAGGTGGGAATCTCCCTCCTGAACAATTCCAGGTGTTCCATTCAAGGTGGGAATCTCCCTCCTGACACAATCCCTGCTTGGGAATCTCAGAGGTTGTGCCGTGTTTGGAATCGTCCCTGCTGGTTTTTAGGGATGAAGCTGCTCCAGGGATCCACCTACAGCCTGGAATCCTCCCCGTTCCCACAGGAATTCCCCATCCCTGTGGATCTGGTGGCACTTGGGGACACCAGGGAGGGGTGGGAAGGGCCGGTCGGACTCCGGGATCCCGGAGGGATTTTCCAGGCTGGACAATTCCATTAAAGCTGGGAATCTCCTCCTCCCAACACTCTCAGTCCCTGCTTGGAATCTTGGAGGTTGGAATGGTCCCTGCTGGTTTTTAGGGATGAGTTTTTCCCTCCCTGCTGGTTTTTAGGGATGAGTTTTTCCCTCCCTGCTTGGGAATCTCGGAGGTTGTGCCGGGTCTGGAATCGTCCCTGCTGGTTTTTAGGGATGGAGCTGCTCCAGTGATCCATGGAATCGGCATTCCCGAGGGATTCCCCAGCCCGGGGACACCAGGGAGGGGTGGGAAGTGCCGGGCGCACTCCGGGATCCTGGAGGGATTTTCCAGGCTGAGCAATCCCATTCAAGGTGGGAATCTCCCTCCTGAACAATTCCAGGTGTTCCATTCAAGGTGGGAATCTCCCTCCTGACACAATCCCTGCTTGGGAATCTTGGAGGTTGTGCCGTGTTTGGAATCGTCCCTGCTGGTTTTTAGGGATGAGTTTTCCTCCCTGCTTGGGAATCTCGGAGGTTGTGCCGGGTCTGGAATGGTCCCTGCTGGTTTTTAGGGATGAACCAAACCCTCCCCCCGTTTCCTTTTTTTTAAAACCCCTCCTTTTTTTCTCCTTCCCCCTAAAAAGTATTGCAGGGTTTTTTATTTTTAACTCCCTCCCCCCCTCGTCAAAAAAAAAAAAAATCCGCGTTTTTTTCCTTTTTCTTCCTTTTTTTCCTTTTTCCTTTTTACTTTTGTCCTTTTTGCCTTTTTCTTTTTCCTTTTTCTCTTTCTTTTTGTCTTTTTTGTCCTTTTTTCTTTTTCCGTTTTTTGTCTTTCCTTTTGCCTTTTTTCTGTTTCCTTTTTTGGCCTTTTTTTCCCTTTTTCCCTTTTTGTCTTTTTTGGCCTTTTTTTTCCTTTTCTTTTTCCTTTTTTTGCTTCTTTCTCTTTGTCTTTTTCCTTTTTGCCCTTTTTTCTTGTCTCTTTTTTTCCTTTTTCTTTGTCTTTTTCTTTTGCCTTTTTTGTCCTTTTTCTCTTTTTCTTTTTGTCCTTTTTTTTTCCTTTGTTTGTCCTTTTTCCTTTTTCTTTTGTCTTTTTTTGGCCTTTTTTTTCTTTTCTTTTTCCTTTTTTTGTCTTTTTTTGTCTTTTTTTGCCCTTTTTTCCCTTTTTTCCCTTTTTTCCTTTTTTTTGGTCTTTTTTATTGCTTTTTTCCCTCCTTTTCCACATCGGTCCCGCCCCTCCCTTTGTTGGTTTTCTTTTTTTTTTTAATTATTATTTTGGGGGTTTTTTTGGGCTTTTTTTTTGTTGTTTTTAAGTCCTGGAAGGGCAGAAAAATTGGGGAAAAAAAAAAAAGGGTGGAAAAGGAGGGTTTTTTTGTTGTTTGGTGAGTCCTGGACTGTTCCCTTGGGATCTGAGGGACACCAGGAGAGATGGGGATGGTTGGGAATGTCCCACATCCAGAAAAAATGGGATTGAGGGAGAACAATCTCCCCCACCCTGAGGCCCCTCCAGCTCAATTTTTTGGGGGAATTTCCCTCATCCTGAGGGTCCTCCAACCCTTTTTTTTTAGGAGGAATCTCCCCCACCCTGAGGCCCTTCCAGCTCAATTTTTGGGGGGGAATTTCCCCCACCCTAAGGCCCCTCCAGCCCTGGTTTTTGGGGGAATTTCCCCCATCCTGAGGGCACTCCAGCTGGTTTTTTTGGGTTTTTTTTTAGGGGGAATCTCCCCCACCCTGAAGACCCCTGGGATCTGCTGCCATTCCAGATCCAGCCCTTCCTGCTCCCCATTCCCTGATTAATTCCCAGCTCCCATTCCCAGCACACAGACCCCTGGGATCTGCTGCCAGCCCTTTTCCCCTTTTTCCCCCTTTCCCCCCTTTTTCCTCCCTTTTCCCCCCTTTTTTCCCCCTTTCCCCCCTTTTTTCTCCTTTCCCCCCCTTTTCCCCCTTTTTTCTCCTTTTCCCCCTTTTTTCCCCTTTTTCCTCCCTTTTCCCCCCTTTTTTCCCCTTTCCCCCCTTCCCCCCTTTTTCCCCTTTATCCCATTTTCCCTTTTTCTCCCCTTTTTCCCCTTTTCCTCCCTTTTTCTCTTTCTCCCTTTTTTCCCCTTTTTCCCCCTTTTTCTCTTTCTCTCCTTTTTCCCCTTTTTCCCCCTTTCTCTTTCTCCTTTTTCTCCTTTTCTCCTTTTCCCCCTTTTTCCTCTTTCTCCCCCTTTTCCCCCTTTTTTCCCCTTTTCCCCTTTCCCTTTTCCCCTTTATCCCATTTTCCTTTTCTCCCCTTTTCCCCTTTTCCTCTTTTTTTCCCTCTTTTTCCCCTTTCCCCTTTTTTCCCTTTTCCCCTTTTTCCCCTTTTTCCCCTTTCCTCCCTTTTCCCCCCGTTTTTCCCCTTCACCCCTTTTTCCCTTTTCCCCCATTTTTCCCTTCCCCCGCCCCTCTGGAATCCCAGGAATTATCCCGGGACTCTCCACAGACAGCAGCACCAGCCCGGAGTTGGGATCCCCTTTCCCTGCTGGAACACCACGAAGATGCCTCCAATCCCCCTTTTCCAGGGAAGCTCTGGGTGGAATGAACATTCCCGAGTTTTTGTCAGCCAGCCCAGCTGGGAAAAAACTTCGGGAAAAGGCAGGAAATGGCGATTTTTGGGTGGGAAAGGTTTGGGAATCCTGGGAAGGGTTTGGGAATCCAGGGAAGGGTTTGGGAATGCAGGGAAGGGTTTGGGAATCCTGGGAAGGGTTTGGGAATCCAGTGGAGGGTTTGGGAATCCAGGGAAGGGTTTGGGAATCCAGTGGAGGGTTTGGGAATCCTGGAGGGTTTGAACCAGGGAAGGGTTTGGGAATCCAGGAGTTTGGGAATCTGGGAAGGGTTTGGGAATCCAGGAAGGGTTTGGGAATCCAGGGAAGGGTTTGGGAATCCAAGGAAGGGTTTGGGAATCCAGGGAAGGGTTTGGGAATCCAATGGAGAGGTTTGGGAATCCTGGGAAGGGTTTGGGAATCTGGGAAGGGTTTGGGAATCTGGGAAGGGTTTGGGAATCCAGGGGAGGGTTTGGGAATCCAGGGAAGGGTTTGGGAATCCTGGGAAGGGTTTGGGAATCCAGTGGAGGGTTTGGGAATGCAGGGAAGGGTTTGGGAATCCTGGGAAGGGTTTGGGAATCCAGGGAGGGTTTGGGAATGCAGGGAAGGGTTTGGGAATCCAGGGAAGGGTTTGGGAATCCAGGGAAGGGTTTGGGAATCCAGGGAAGGGTTTGGGAATCCTGGGAAGGGTTTGGGAATCCAGTGGAGGGTTTGGGAATCCGGGAAGGGTTTGGGAATGCAATGGAGGGTTTGGGAATCCAATGGAGGGTTTGGGAATCCAGGGAAGGGTTTGGGAATCCTGGGGAGGGTTTGGGAATCCAGGGAAGGGTTTGGGAATCCAGGGAAGGGTTTGGGAATCCAGTGGAGTTTTTCCCTTCGCTGGGAGCCCAAATGAGGTCAGGGCGGAGGGGCCGCTGTGGCTTTAAAGGATCCTCATTAGTGACGTCATTGCTGATGAGCCGATGGTCATTAAGGCTTCCCCCGGGAGCGGGAGCTGCTCCCAATCCCATCCCGGGAAAGGATTCCCCTCCCGGGACGTTCCCCCCGGGAAAAACGGGCTCCAAAAGGGCCATCCCAGCCCGGCCCGAGAGGCTGAGGGAGCTGGGAAAGCTCATCCCGGGGAAAAGAGGGATCAGGAGGGAGCTTTTCCAGCCCCACAACTCCTGCCAGGAGGGGGGAGCCGGGGGGGTGTCCCCAATTCCCAGGGAAGAAGAACCAGGAGGGAGAGGGAACGGCCTCCAGCTGGGCCAGGGCAGGGGCAGGAAGGATATTGGGAATAAAAAACCCGATCCGGGGGGATTTGGGCACTTGGGGGGGCTCACACTCCGGGTGAGAGAGCTGGGAAAAGGTGGAAGGAAAGCTGGGGTTAATCCTGGAATCAGGGAATGGTTGGGGTGGGAAGGGACCTTAAGGATCATCCCGTTCCGACCCCGACACCTCCCGCTGTGCCAGGGGATCCAGCCCGGCCTGGGACACTGCAGGGATCCAGGGGCAGCCACAGCTTCCCTGGGAATTCCAGCCCAGCCCCTCCCCACCCTCCCAGGCTCTGGAAGGGACTCCCAGCTCTCCCTGGATCCTTCCCTGCTCCAGCCTGGCCATTCCCAGCTCTCCCAGCCTGGATCCAGAGCCTGACATTGGATCCATGCCCAGCCCAACTCCTCTCTGGGAAGGAGTTCCGGGAACAAGGGGGGGTTCCCTGGGAATCTCGGCACTCAGGGAAGGGTCTCCCTTCCCCTTTCCCGCCTTTGCCATCCCCACATTCCATAAAAACCCCTCTGAGTGGATCCTGAGTGTCCTTTAGCATGGAATCATGGAATGGTTTGGATGGGAAGGGAGTTTCAGGATCATGCCATTCCATGGTCAGGGACACCTCCCGCTATCCCAGGGGATCCAACCCGGCCTGGGACACTCCAGGGATCCAGGGGCAGCCACAGCTTCCCTGGGAATTCCAGCCCGGCCTGGAATCCCTTCCCAGTCTCCCATCTGCCCCTGCTCCCACGCGGGTGGATTCGCCGCGATCCCCGCAACCTGCCGGGCCAGATTCCATCGGCAAATTCCCTTCTCCTCCTCCTCCTGGCGCTCCCACGCCTGGAATTCCCGCTCCTGGACTCACCTGGGGTGGTTTTAGGGTGTTTTTTAGGGGATAAAGGAGCAGGAGAGGATGGGGGGGGTGACAGGGGGAGCTCAGCCTGACCCGGATCCAGCCCGTGGATCCCATGGAAATTCCCCCCTCGCGCTGAGTGGAATCAATAATAATAATAATAACAATAATATCACCAAATAAATAATTTATTACTTATTCCAGCGCTTGAAAGGCCTCCATATTCTTAATTTTGCCTTCTTAAATGAAGCCGCTCCGGGGCTCCCGCGAACTCCTAAAAACTGATCCAAAGACTGATCAAAGAAAACCCCCCCCAAAAAATGTCCTTTAACGAGCGGCGAAGGGGCGGGGAACGGGGACAAAGCGGGATCCCCCCGGGCGATGGTTCTGTCGATGATTCCATCGGCGCTCGCCCCCCTTGCCCGAGCTTGGCTTTTCACGCTTTAAAAAAATCTGCTTTTTGCGCGAGGGTTTAAAAGGAAATAATCACCCGCTTTTTTCGCGAAGAGCTCGGGTTGGGAAGGTCCAAGAGGAGCGAACGACTCGGGAGTCGCAGCAGGAAAAAGATTTGGAGGCTCAGCGGTCAATTATTTGGAGGCGCGACGGGAAAAAAAAAGATTCGGAGTCGGTCTGGAATTAAATCCTCCCCCAAACTCTCCCCCACCGCGGTCTCACCTGGCGGGAGAGGCCTCTGCTCCTCCTTTTTAATCCTGAAATTCTGAATTTCCCCATGGGTTTCGTGCCCGTCCCAGAGAGCCCTTCCAGCTTTTTTTCCATGGTTCCTCTGGAATTCTCTCCCTCTCGGATCGTCCGTGCCCGCCTTCCATCGGCCAATTAACCGCGATGAAGGTGATTAAAAAACGGCTTTATCGCTTCTCAGCTGAACAACTCGCGGTGCCGGGAGTGGCTCCCGCGTTCCTTTTTTTTTTATTCCCAGGAATCCTGGGAGGAGGGGAGGGGAAAAGGGCTGAGATTTTCCAGCCTGAAAAGCGCCCAAAGTGGGCAGAGCCGGGAAGGGGGAAGCTGGGATTTTTCCACGGAGCTGGAATATGAGGGGGTTTGGGGGGGTGTTTTTAATAATTTCGGTGTCTTAGAACTTTTGGGGGGTTTCAGAGGGGGTTGCTGTGGCGCTGCCAGGGCCGATCCAACCCCTGGATGGGACCCTTGGAATCAGGAAGGGCTGGAATTAACAGGTGGATGTTGTGCCCAGGTGTTCCTGAAAGGGGTGGGATCCTCTGGGATTCGTGACCAGTGAGTTTTAGATAAAACCAAGGAATTTTTTGGTTGGTGGTTCCTGGGTTTTTGTGCTGCTGCAGCACCAGGAACCTCAGGCATGGCCTGGATTGGGGTTTTCAGGGATGCAAAAGCAGAGGGAAAGTGGGCTCTGCTTCCACAAATTCCCATCCTGGAGAGGGGGGATTTTCAGTGGGCAGCAGGAGAGTGGGAATGACAGCAGATGAGCAGCCTAAATAGGGATTTTTGGGGATATTTTTAATGATTTCAGTGCCCCAGCACTGCTGTGGGGTTTCAGAGGGGGTTGCTGTGGCGCTGCCGGGGCCGATCCAACCCCTGGATGGGATCCTTGGAATCAGGAAGGGCTGGAATTAACAGGTGGATGTTGTGCCCAGGTGTTCCTGAAAGGGGTGGGATCCTCTGGAATGTGTGGCCAGTGAGTTTTAGACAAACCCAAGGAATTTTGGTCGGTGTTTTCAGTGATTTTCGCGCAGCAGGAGGAGCAGGAGGAGGTTCCTCCCCTGGCCGCCGTCACTGGGATCAGCAGGAATTCTGCAGCGCTCCCACCTGGATGTGTTGCCAGGGAGGGTCATGCAGGAGCTTGCAGGGGCTGCCCCAGCCCCCTCCAAGAATGCAATTCACGGGCAATCAGAAGCATTCCTGGCAGTTTGGCAGCCCGGGGGTTGCTCCCTCCTTGTTTTTTTCTCCCCCTCCCCGGCTCGTTTTGATCCCTCTCCTCTCTCTCTCTTACAGCACTGGAATTCCCAGGTGGAAAAGGTTCACTGTCGGGTCTGGTTGGAGGTGGGAAAAACGTCATGGAATGGTGGAGTGCTTTGGGTGGGAAGGGATCTTAAGGATCAGCAAATCCAACCCCAACAGCTCCCGCTATCCCAGGGGATCCAAGCGCCATCAAATCCCAACAATTCCAGGGATGGGGAGTCCACAACTTCCCCCAAAATAATCTGCACCCACAGTGAACCAGGTTGGGACGAACATAAAATGGTCCTGGAAAAGTCTTATTGACCCCAAAATGACCCAAAACAATAAATTGCTATTTGATATTAATTTACAGTTCAGGTGCTTTTCCTGCTGAAGGAATTGATCCTGCCCAGCCTTTTCCCTGCCCATTCCCTCTGCAGATGCTCCAGAGGGTAAGGAGTCACTTCCAGAACTGAATCCTGGAATGGTTTGGGTGGGAAGGGACCTTAAGGATCGGCAAATCCAACCCCGACACCTCCCGCTATCCCAGGGGATCCAAATCCTTTCCAACTCGGCCTGGAACAATTCCAGGGATACTGAAACCAGATCCAGGCTGGATGTGAGAAAACAGTTGACAGATTGGGGGGGAAATGGCTAAAAACGACAAATGGTGGGGTGAGGCCCTTGGGGAAATGTTTATCAGTCAGCCTGTCCTGCTTTGGATGAACAGATGGAATGGTTTGGATGGGAGATTGGGAAGGGATTCCTGGCTGGCATGGTGGGGATGGGATGGGATGGGCTGGAATTCCCAGGGAAGCTGCGGCTGCTCCTGGATCCATGGGAGCGTCCCAGGCCGGGTTGGGTTCCCTCGGAGCGACCTGTGCTGGTGGAAGGTGGATAATCCCATGGAACTGGAGAATCTGCAAGGTGCTTTCCCCATCCAAACCAAGCCAGGATTCCATGGTCCTGAGGGCACAGTGATGGTACCAGCGGGGCTGAGGGCACAACCATGGCACCAGCGGGGTCTCGGGGCTGAGGGCACAGCCATGGCACCCACGGGGCTGAGGGCATGGCCACGGCACCAGCGGGGTCCCAGGGCTAAGGGCACAACCATGGCACCAGCAGGGCTGAGGGCACAACCGTGGCACCAGCGGGTCCAGGGCTGAGGGCACAATGGTGGCACCAGCAGGGTTGAGGGCACGGCCATGGCATCAGCGGGGTCACGGGGTTGAGGGCATGGCCATGGCACCAGCGGGGTCCTGGGGATGAGGGCACAACCACGGCACCAGCGGGGCTGAAAGCAGAACCATGGCACCAGCGGGGCTGAGGGCAGAACCATGGCACCAGCGGGGCTGAGGGCAGAACCATGGCACCAGCAGGGTCCCGGGGCTGAGGGCACAATGATGGCACCAGAGGGGCTGAGGGCATGGCCATGGCACTAGAGGGGCTGAGGGCAGAACCATGGCACCAGTGGGGCTAAGGGCACAATGGTGGCACCAGCAGGGCTGAGGGCCCAATGGTGGCACCAGCAGGGTTGAGGGCACGGCCATGGCACCAGCAGGGTCTCGGGGTTGAGGGCACGGCCATGGCACCAGCGGGGTCCCAGGGATGAGGGCACAATGGTGGCACCAGCGGGGTCCTGGGGCTTAGGGCACAACCACGGCACCAGCGGGGCTGAAAGCAGAACCATGGCACCAGAGGGGCTGAGGGCAGAACCATGGCACCAGCGGGGCTGAGGGCAGAACCATGGCACCAGCAGGGTCCCGGGGCTGAGGGCACAATGATGGCACCAGAGGGGCTGAGGGCAGAACCATGGCACCAGTGGGGCTAAGGGCACAATGGTGGCACCAGCAGAGCTGAGGGCAAAGCCATGGCACCAGCGGGGTCTTGGAGCTGAGGGCACGGCAGTGGCACCAGCGGCGCTGAGGGCACCAGGGTGGTACCAACTGGGTCCCGGTGCTGAGGGTACAATGGTGGCACCAGCGGGGCTGAGGACACAAACATGGCACCAGCGGGGTCATGGGGCCTGAGGGCATGGCCATGGCACCAGTGGGGTCCTAGGGATGAGGACACAAGAATGGCATCAGTGGCATCCCAGGGCTGAGGGCATGGCCATGGCACCAGTGGGGTCCTGGGCTAAGGGCACAATGGTGGCACCAGCGGGGCTGAGGGCACAAGAATGGCATCAGTGGGGTCCCAGGGCTGAGGGCATGACTGTGGCACCAGCGGGGTCCCGGGGCTGAGGGCACCATGGTGGCACCAGTGGCATCCCGGGGCTGAGGGCATGGCCATGGCACCAGCGGGGTCCCAGGGATGAGGGCACGGCCATGGCACCAGCGGGGTCACGGGGCTGAGGGCATGGCCGTGGCACCAGCAGGGTCCGAGGGCTGAGGGCACTGTCATGGCACCAGCGGGGTTGAGGGCACGGCCGTGGCACCAGCGGGGTCCTGGGGCTGAGGGCACGGCCGTGGCACCAGCGGGGCTGAGGGCACAGTCATGGCACCAGCGGGGCTGAGGGCACGGCCGTGGCACCAGCAGGGTCCCAGGGCTGAGGGCACAACGGTGGCACCAGCGGGGTCCGAGGGTTGAGGGCACAGTCATGGCACCAGCGGGGCTGAGGGCACGGCCGTGGCACCAGCGGGGCTGAGGGCACGGCCGTGGCACTAGTGGGGTCCCAGGGCTGAGGGCACGGCCGTGGCACCAGCGGGGTCCGAGGGTTGAGGGCACGGCCGTGGCACCAGCAGGGTCCCAGGGCTGAGGGCACAGTCATGGCACCAGCGGGGTTGAGGGCACGGCCGTGGCACCAGCAGGGTCCCAGGGCTGAGGGCACGGCCGTGGCACCAGCGGGGTCCGAGGGTTGAGGGCACGGCCGTGGCACCAGCGGGGCTGAGGGCACAGTCATGGCACCAGCGGGGTCCCAGGGCTGAGGGCACGGCCGTGGCACCAGCGGGGCTGAGGGCACGGCCGTGGCACCAGCGGGGTCCCGCTCAGGGCCCCCCGTGCTCGGCGCCGCCGGGACCCCCCAGCCCGAGTCCCCTCAGGCTCCAAGATGGCGCCTCCTCCCCTTTCCCCCTTCCCTTCCCCGCGCCCGTCCGGCGGGAGCTGCCCTGGGCCGCCGCGGCGAGGGCCGGGCGGGGGAAGATGGCGGCGAGCGGCGCTCAGGGAGGGAGGGAAAGAGGGAAAGGAGAGCAACGAGCAGGAGGAGGAGGAGGGACCGCGCCGGGCGCTCCGCCGACACCGCCCCCCTCGTCCTCCATGCCCAGCTCCGCCCCGTCCCGCCGGGAGGGAGGATCGCGGCCAGCCGGAGCGAGCGAGCGAGCGCCGGAGCCCCGCAGCCCCGCGCCGCGCCGCCCAGGCAAAGGGGCCCCGGGGCGCCCGGCGGAGCTCCCCGCAGCGGCAGCCGGGGCCCCCCCGCGTCCCGCCCGGCCGGCCGGCAGCGCGCTCCGGGGGCTGCCGCCAGCGCCGAGCCCCGCAGCCCCCCGGGGGCCGCCTCTCCCGGCCGCGGGAGTCGCTGTCGCGTTGCCCGCGGAGCTCCGGGCGGGCCCGGGCGGCCGAGGAGGAGGAGGCGGAGGAGGAGGCGGCGGTGTGGGAGGCAGCTGCAGGTGAGTGCGAGGCGAGGGGGGCGGCCCCGCCGCGGCCTCCCCGGTTCCCCCGGCCGCTGTCACGGCCCGGCCCCCGCCCAGGGCTGCCATGGCGGCCGCCGCCTCCTCCCCGCTCCCTCCTCCTCCTCCTCCTCCTCTTCTCTCGCTCGTTTCCCTCCCTCCCTCTCCTCCCTCCCTCTCTCTCTCTCTCTCCCCTGCCCGCCCTCCTTCTCCTCCTCCTCCTCCTCGTCGTCCTCCTCCTCCTCCGCCGCCTTCTCCCCCAATACACACCCCCACCCCAGGGACCCTCCTGCCCTGCCCTGCCCAACGTGGCCTTTGCCTCGGTTACCTCGCTCCCCACCCCCCGCGCCGGTATTGTGGGTATTAATTTAAAGTTGATTGGAAAAAAAGTGGGGGGAAAGCAGTTTTGCCGCTCGCCTTCTCGCCCCCTCCCTGCCCCCCACCCCGTTCCCGTCCTCGCCCCCTTCCCCTTCCCGGCTGGAAGGTGGCAGAGGGGACCCGTCCCCTTCTCATCCCTTCCGTGTCCCCTTCCCTTCGCCATCCTCGTCCCCTTCTCTCTTCCCCTTTGCCGTCCCCGTTCCCTTCCCGGTTGGAAAATGGCAGAGGGGACCCCATCCCCTTCCCCAGCCTCTTTCCCCTTCCCCAGCCCCTTCCCAGCTGGAAGATGGCAGAGAGGACCCGTCCCCATCTCCTTCCCTGACCCCTTCCTCGACCCCTTCCCCATCCCCTTTTCCAACCCCAACCCCTTCCCCATCCTCTTCCCAGCTGGAAGATGGCAGAGGGGACTCATCCCTGACCCCTTCCTCGACCCCTTCCCCATCCCTTTTCCCATCCCCTTCCCAGCTGGAAGATGGTAGAGAGGACCCTTTGCCATCCCCTTTCTCGACTCCCTTCCCCGTCCCCTTCCTCGACCCCATCCCCTTCCTCTATCCCTTCCCCGACCCCTTCCCCGACCCCTTCTCTGACCCCTTCCTCGATCCCTTCCCCATTCCCTTCCTTCCCAGGTGGAAGATGGCAGAGAGGACTCATCCCCATCCTCTTCCTTCCCTGACCCCTTCATCGACCCCTTTCCTATCCTCTTCCCCACCCCCTTTCCCATCCCCTTCCCAGCTGGAAGGTGGCAGAGAGGACTTGTCCCCATCCCCTTCCCTCACACCCCTTCATTGACCCAGCCCCTTCCTTGCCCCCTTTCCCTTCCCTAACCCCTTCCCCATCCCCTTCCCAGCTGGAAGATGGCAGAGAGGACTCGTCCCCATCCCCTTTCCTGACCCCTTCCTTGACCCCTTCCCCATCACCTTCCTTGAACCCTTCCCTGACCCTGACCCCTTCCCCTTCCTTGCCCCCTTTCCCTTCCCTAACCCCTTTCCCATCCCCTTCCCAGCTGGAAGATGGCAGAGAGGACCCGTCCCCATCCCCTTCCTCGACCCCATCCCCTTCCTCGACCCCTTCCCCGACCCCTTCCTCGACCCCTTCCCCATCCCCTTCCTCGACCCCTTCCTCGACCCCTTCCTCGACCCCTTCCCCGACCCCTTCCTCGACCCCTTCCTCGATCCCCTTCCCTCGACCCCTTCCTCGACCCCTTCCTCGACCCCTTCCCCATCCCCTTCCTCGACCCCTTCCTCAACCCCTTCCTCGACCCCTTCCCCATCCCTTCCTCGACCCCTTCTCAACCCCTTCCCCATCCCCTTTCCTCGACCCCTTCCTCGACTCCTTCCCCATCCCCTTCCTCGACCCCTTCCCTATCCCCTTCTCTGCCCCCTTCCCCATCCCCTTCCCAGCTGGAAGATGGCAGAGAGGACTCATCCCCTTCCTTGACCCCTTTCCCTTCCCCATCTTCTTCCCCAGCCCCTTTCCCAGCTGGAAGATGGCAGAGAGGACCCATTCCCGTCCCCATTCCCGTCCCCATTCCCGTCCCCATTCCCGTCCCCATTCCCATTCCCGTCCCCATTCCCATCCCCATTCCCATCCCCGTCCCCATTCCCATCCCCGTCCCCATTACCATCCCCATTCCTGTTCCCATTCCCATCCCCATTCCCATCCCTGTCCCCATTCCCATCCCCATTCCCATTCCCATCCCTGTCCCCATCCCCATCCCCATCCCCATCCCCATCCCCGTCCCCAATCTCATCCCCATTCCCATCCCCATTCCCATCCCCATCCCCATTCCCCTCCCCGTTCCCTTCCCCACCCCATTCCCAGCTGGAACAGAGGGAAGGCACCAACCCCTGGGGGGCAGGCAGGACGTTCCCTGGGGTGGCGTTTTGGGTGACAGCTCTTTGTGTGCGTGCGTGTGTGTGGGTGACATTCCATGTGCGTGTCACCCACCCCCTCCTCCTCCCTCCCCCCCACGCGGGACGCGCGGCCGCGCCCCCAAAGCCCCAAACCCCTCCCCATCCCGCCCCTCCGGCCCGCGGGGGTGACAACTTCGGCGCGGAGGGGACGCGCAACGTCCGCCCGGGTTTGGGTGGATTTAGGCTTGGATTTAGGCTTGGATTTGGGCTTGGATTTGGGCTTGGATTTGGGCTTGGATTTGGGTTTGGATTTGGGTTCGGATTTAGACTTGGATTTGCCAGGTGTGCCGGTTTTTCCGGGGGAAAGGGGGGAGGGGGCTCCGCAGGATCCTCCTCCCAAGCGCCATGCCCTAAATTTCCATCCTTCCCTCTCTCCCCGGAGCCGCCTCGGGAATTAAATCCCCAGCACCTGCCCCGCCGCGCTCGGGGGGGGTCCGGAACCTCTGGAAAAAAAAAAAAAAACCACGGCATTCCAGGGAAAACCCGTGGCGGAAAAGCCTCTTCCTTCTCAACAAGGAGGTTTTGGGGTTTTTTTGGGCTCCCCGCTCCCCCAGGTGCGGCTTTTTTGACCTTTCGCTGCCCCAAAACCGGGTCGTGCCACGCTGGGTGACGATTTCCTGGGAGTTTGTTTTCTTCTCTTTTGGTTTTGTTTTTGGTTTCCCCTCCCCCTTTGTGATTTGTGGGAAAAAAACACCTTTTTTTTTTTGGGATAATCGAGCTCGGAGTCGCCGTCCGATTTTTTTTTTTTCTTTTTTTCCCGTCGAACCCCGAGGCGAGGGAGGGGGGGATAAACGAATAAATCAATTAATAAATAAATACAGAATAATAATAATAATGATTATTATTATTATTATTTAAGGGTGACACAGCAAAGGCAAGGGGGAAAACTGGAAATTTGGGCTGGGAATTTGGGCCCTTTGATGGTTTTTGTGTCGTTTGTGGCGCTGGTTTGGAGTGAAAAAATGAAAATATCTTCCCTCCCACCCCCCCAAAAAAGAACCAAACCCCAAAAAACCTGTTTTTCCGTGGGCAGGACGTTGATATATGGGGGTAAAATTCTCATAAATAGATGTATTTAAAAAGGATGGGACGTACCTGGGGAGCTGGCAGGGGGGGTGGATTTATCTGGGAGAGTTTAAAAACCAAAACAAACCACAAAACAACACAACAACTGCTCGGGTTTACTTTTTTTTTTGTATTTTTGGGGGATTGTGGTGGGGTTGGGTGATCCTGGGAGGGGATCTTTTCCCAACCTGAAGGATTTTCCTGGAGAGCATTCCCAGGTGTGTCCCGGAGTGGTTTTTTCACATGCGTGGAGGGAGGAAGTTCCAAAAATAAGGGTGTTTTACTCCACCCCGAAAAAAAAATACACACACGTTGGGAAGGAGAAAAATCAAAATACAGTGTTACAAAAGGGGGGGTTTTGGCCACTTCCCAGGGAAAAGCTGTTGGGAAAAGCTAGTGGGAAAAGCAGGGATTTCCTCGGGATGGGTGAGGGTGAGGGGAGGGGGTCGGGCTGCTGTCGATGGAAGCGATTAAAGTTCAATCTGCCACTCGAGGGGGGGACAAACAGCTCGGAGGAGGGGTGGGGGGTGATCATCATCATGGGCAGCGGGAGGGAGGGAACTTTGGCGCGGGCCCCGGCGTGGAATGTGAAATCCCGATTTTTTTTTGCTCAGGATGGGGTATCTTTGGCTGCTCCCGGGGCAGGGAAAACCAACATGGAAAAGGGAGGAAAAAAAAACCCAACAACACCCCCTCTCTGCTTCCGAAACAAAGCAGGATCTCCCCAGAGAGGCAGCTCCTTGAGTTGTTCTTCTCCTTCTTTTCCTCCTCCTCCTCCCGGTTTTCCAGCGGTGTGGATGAGCCGGGAGCCTCTGATAATGCCCCGACTTAATTCCTGCAATTAGTCATGCACTTCCACCCTGGATTGATTGGGAGATGGAGGGATCCCCCCCACTCCACGTCATCCCCAGCACATCGGGAAAAACCCCCGCTCTTTTCCTTGGGGAATTCCGGGAACGTCCGAGGGGGCTTTGGGAGGGGGGGGGATTTTAGGAAGGTTTTTTTTTTAAAGGCTTGTTGGGAATAGCTGGAGCTTGGATTATTAAAGCTTAATTAATTATATAATCATATTTTCTGAGGGGGGTGGGATCAGCACCTCGGTGCTGGTTAATCCCGAGGGATGGAGGGTGGGGGGGGGGGCTCCAGGAGCGAAGGTTGGGAGCTAAAAATATCCCGGGATAGTGTGGAAAACGCCGTGTTTTGTGTGTGTGAGGAAAAGGAGGGGGGGAAAAGAGTTTATAGGACGGGTTCTTCTGGTTTGGCCTGGTTGGCTGCGCTGCTTTTGAAGGGCTTTATCTTCCCGGATCAAAGAGGAGGAACAGGGGAAAAAAACCAACAAAAAACACACAAAAAATAGGTTTTAAAGTCGGAGACTGCGCTTAAAGGGCAGGGGTGGGAGCGGGGAGGGCTCGGACCAACAGGTGGATGTTGGGACAGGGTGTTCCTGAAGGGTGTGGGATCCTCTGGAATGTGTGACCAATGAGTTTTTGGATAAAACCAAGGGATTTGGTTGGTGTTTTTTGTGCTGCTGCAGCACCAGGAACCTCAGGCATGGCCTGGATTGGGGTTTGCAGGGATGCAAAAGCAGAGGGAAAGTGGGCTCTGCTTCCAAGAACTCCCAGCCTGGAGTGCTGGAATTTCAGG